ATATATATATATATATACAGTTCAGTAGCAAACACATGCACGAAAGCAATTAAATACACATTCACACATGCTGACTTGCATAAGCACATACTGTAAATGCACACATATGGACACATAAATGTATGCACACCCACCACACATACAGCTAATCACTCTTTTTTATTTCTTTGGACAGGTGGCCAGAATATTAGGTGTAACCTCTGAGATGCAAAGGATGATGGGAGTGTCCTCAGGGTTGGAGTTATTGACTCTACCACATGGACACCAGCTCAGACTTGACCTACTGGAGAGGTACAAACATCCCACTGTCTTCCACTCACTGACATTAATTCAGCAATTGGTTAGCTGGGCTCTTCTGTTCTTCCTCCTCAATCTCCTCTCTTCTCTTTCCTCTTGTTATCGTCACCCCCTAAATCTGTCATCCTCTTCTCATCTCCTTTCATTACACACAATAATGAATATTTTTCAAATCAATGTAATAACAGCTCTTCCTTAACTTAACTGCTTGAGTACTGTAAATAATATATATTTCTTCAACATCTGAAGGCTCTCTCAGATTGCATCACTCATATAAAACAGTACAATGTGCCACAATGTGAAATTCCAAAGTGACTTTCAAATTAGGCTTTGACTCAACATCTTCAAGTTTTATTGAACAGTGCCTTCTTATTTTCTCAGGTTCTACACCATGTCTATCATGATGGCAGTGGACCTGCTAGGCTGTACGGGAAGCACAGAGGAGAGAGCAGCCCTCCTTCACAAGACCATTCAATTGGCAGCAGAGTTGAAAAGCAACCTGGGTAACATGTTTGGCTTTGCTGCTGTGATGAGAGCACTGGAGCTGCCACAGGTAAGAGAGATGCAGATAAAAAGTCACCATCATTAGCACAAACACTTCTCATCATAAAATGTTCTTTAATGCGTTCTGAAATTGTTGTTGTATCACTCATTGCTTTAGATTTCCCGCCTGGAGCAGACGTGGGTGACATTACGCCAGAGACACACAGAGGGCGCTATTCTATATGAGAAGAAACTCAAACCTTTCATGAAGAATATGAATGATGGCAAAGGTGAGATCTTGGTTTACGTGGCTGGTGTGTGTTCTGTACAAAAAATTTACCAGTATGTACTTATCTCCAGTTCTGAACTCAAAACTCTGCTCTGCTCACAGAGTCTAGTGCTCTGTCCAACACCTCCTTCCCCCACATCATTCCCGTCCTGTCCTTACTGGAGCGGGGCATGGCTCTCGGGGAGGCGCTGGAGCCCTGGGAGAGTGCAGAGGTGGGAGTAGACGTGGTCATGTACCACCTAGAGGCAGCGCGCACCATCGCGCATCACGGGGGGATCTATAGAACCTACGCTGAGACCAAACTGCAGGGTAAGGCTAAGGGCAGTCTTTGCAAGCATGGTGTGAGACGTTATCTGTGTTGTTTTGAGCGGCAGTAGTAGTGCGGCCCCATGTATGCCAATGTCAGTCTGTTAGTTGGTTAGGCATTTTCATGTTCCCCAGAGGATTAATTCCTAATGACCTAAGTGGTCCTCTGACTTTTCCTCTAGCGCCACCAGCAGTGACATATCTCAACATAGGTATATTAAATGGATAATGAGCAAGGGAGCTCCAAACAGTTTAAGGGGATGGAAGTAAAAGAATATTACACTAGTTATTACATTAGTTATCAAAAGGAGATTACATTAAATATCCTAAATGTGTGCGATTTGGTGAGATAGATGGTTTAATAGAGCTCTAGACTATTAGATGGATTGCCATGATACTTAGTTGGTACACACACTCATGTTCCCCTCAGGATGAATAACACCATTAAGGTATGTTTTCTCACCACCCCTCTACTGGTTGGTTTAAGCTCATGAATACAGTCAACCTTGCTAATTATTTTATCCACACCAACCATCAGAAATAATAAACAATTTTCTTACCACAGACACTAAAAATGTTCTTGTGGTACAGCGGGTATTGTGCTCCATCTAATGCTGTTAATAATGACGAGTGTGGTTGGTATCAGTGTTATCACGACATCGCTGATTTCATGTAACGATTGTGTCTGTGTGTGTGCGTGTGTGTGGTGGTTACTTTGTTAACTGTATTGATCCCTAATACCTCCCCAATGGTTCTCAGTTTGAAGCTATTACTGCTTTATTGACCCGTGTGTCAATAGCTATCAGTTCAGATCTCTGTTTTCTGTTATATCTCGCTATCGATCAGATTGACCTCAGTCTGCTCCCTTCATCAACAATGCTGTAAGCCAAAGTTGAGACTTCTGCTTCAGTTGCTGTAATTGGTTCAGCTCAAGATGTTTATGTTCAAAAGCTATCTTTACGTCATCTATAGGGTTAGATTTATTCAATTGAGCACCAGAATGTACTTAATAAACATCAATCAAGGCACACTGGTTAAATTCCCTGTAACCTTATAATGATATTTATCCATGGATGTTAGAAAGGGGTCTGTGATAAAATAATCTAATCTCAAATGTCCACTTTTCAGAGCTTTCAACCTCATCTCTTCATCAGCAAATGTAACTGGCTTAAGAGTCATGTGACAATAAGTGGTTATATATAGGGGAAAAGAGCACTGATGACCTTCATCATGAGATATGGTTAAAAACTCTGAAAAGGCTTGTTGACCTTTTTAGTTAAGATTATTTGCCTGGACAGATTAATGATAGTTGTGAATGTTTAGCACTATTTTTTTATACCATATGTTTAAAATTTTAATGTTTTTTTCACATTTTATTTCAGTTGTGGCTTACTTTACTTATTTTTTTTTACATCCATTTGGTAGATGTTTTTGCCACAAATAATTTGGTTCATTTTATGTTGCAGTGTTTTTCTTTTTTAAATAAAAGAACTGAGACAGAAGACTTTAATTTAAGTTACATTTATTACTTGACAAAATCAGCTACAGACAGTTCAGTTTTAGTCCCACATTCTTCTTTTTATTTTAGTATAATTATGGAGTTTTTATTAACTAACTAACTTAACTGTTTTCTGTTATAGACTGTTATTATCATGATTACAATGTCATCTACAAAGAGTAACATCCTCTCTTTCCTCTCCTCTCCAGGACTTCAGGAGCGAGCAGAAATACGCGAGATCTTCCAGACGGAGTTTCAGATGCGTCTCCTGTGGGGCAGCCGCGGCTCTGAGGGAAGCCAATCGGAGCGTTATGAGAAGTTTGACAAGGTCCTCACCGCCCTGTCCCACAAGCTAGAGCCTCCTGTGCGCCACAGCGAGCTATAGCACCTGCCCCGACAACCATCATCACCAAAACACCCCCATCTGCACTTACCACTCATTGTGGTTTGGTCTTGTTTTTTGCATCGCAAAGGATGATGTGGAAAAGTCCAATGTGAACACTGGGAGGGGTGAGAGTGAATGAAGAGGCAGCTAACAGAGCATGTACAGTAAGCAATAGGAATACAGAGAAGAGGGTCTCATATAGGGTCTTATAACATGTGCACTCACTTCTCCTTCTGTTCCTCCCTGTGGACTTCCTCACTTAGCGCTAAAATGTTTAAATGGCATTAGAGGAGGCGAGCTGAGTGGAAGAGAAGATTGGAGCAATGGGTGGCCAGCTCCTCTGCTTGGTACAAACAGTAACATGTGTATGGCGCGTCCCAAGGGCCGAACAGAGCTGCAGAGTTTGGCTTTGCTCCAATAAAATACAGACATTCTCTTGTTTTAAAACAACTGCTGTCACACACTGTAGCAGAATGATAACAATAACTTGCATAGCTCATATATAGATGTTCTGTGTGAGTGAGTGAGTGAGTATGTGTCTGTATGTTTACATTCCTTCATTTTTGTATGTCAGTAATGGTTTTTTTTTTTAGATCTAAACGTCATGGACATTGCTTCACCAAACTCATGAGAAGCTGTCAGTGATCATTCTGAGGGAACAATGTTCATAAAACCTCATTAAATATGTATCAAGCAGTCCAATTGAATCCCATTAAAAATGTATGAGGCATGCATTAATAAATGTATCAGAAATGAAACATTTGCAGAAGTAATGCAGAAACTTATGAGGGCTGTGTGAGTTGTTAAAAACATTAAGAGGACAATGCACCCTCCTTCTGTTGGAGCTGTTCAGTGAATACATTTGATATTTTCTGTCTTGTGCACAAAATTTTGTTAAAAAACAGCACTGTGAGACAGAGGAAAATGGGATGTATTCTCTTTAAATTGAATTAAAGCAATGTTTCACTTAGTATATAAACATTTATGAACATGCTTTGGTATGACTCTAGCTTCAGTTTGTATAGCAATTTGCAGAAATAATTGAAATGGTTGATGCATGCAGCTATAAATGTTATACCAAGTAAAATGTTGCTTTAAACGACTACTTTAAATGTGTGTTTTAATCGTGTCAAACTTGAGAAATATACAGATGATACAATGAAGATCCTTCATGTCTGTGGATAATCTTGAATGAATGATTTGTTTCAACCAATGAATAATAATAGAAGTTCCCAAACCGAATCAAATAAGGACATACTGACCACAGCCCTGCTACAAAGAATGTCTTTTGGTTGTATGTTTTTAAATCTGTTTCGGCAATAGAGCTAAAATGATCCTAACCTTTTCTATTGCTGTGGGATTACATTTTGGTTGACTGTTCAGTGTTAAATCATTGCTGTATTAACAGCATGTGGGCCTGAGAGGGGCTGGAGCCAACTCTCAGAGCTATGCAATCATTTCAACTAAGGGCTGAGACCCCTGAGGAACAGACACCCATTCAGAATGTTTTCCACTTTTTGCTTCCTACATCACCTTTTTTTAAAATGTCTATCATTTGTTCTTCCTAAATCCAAATTGATAATCTATATATAAATTAAAGTATTATCAATCAGAAATAATTAATAACATATCATATCAGAGATCCTTAAACAGATGTTTGATTGTCCCGCTTTCTAGTCTGAACCCTATTCGGGGTCAGCTGTACAGAGGTGAGGAGCCATGTGCCAGTTCCCACTGTGGTCCAACAGGGGGCAATCTTTAGTCAGCAAAAACACTGAATCATTAATTGTAACACCATACAATATTACAGGAAGACGTATATACACACACAAGGAGGAAAAACACATTTATTGTGTGTGTTTTGAGACCAATGTTTGATATCACTTTTATCAGATATCAAATCTACTGGTTTAGGTTTGATATCTGATCACACTGATGATGAAAAAGTGACGATAATGTAATATGTTTTTTTATTTGTCCTCTGTTGAATGCTGTACAGGAATGCTGATGGTGTGTGGATTCTCCTGTTTTTTATAACAGGACTGTATGAGATGAACTTGAAAGGCAAAAAGACAAGAAATGTTTTAGGCCTGATCTCATGTTTTTTTACGTACTGTATATAGCAATTCACTTTTTTCAAATAAAATGATTGCTCGTGTCAAATAGTTTGATTTATTCAGGAACAAAAACATACAGAAAGCAATCCTAAAGTTATTAAGGGAATCTCTTATATGATCAGATTCCAC